CTAACCAACTCACTAACCGCACTTATTGCAGAGCAATGACTCTTTGGGTCTACCCTTAAGCTAAATTATTTATCCACGATTGCTAGCGAAGATCAAATGATCCTGGCCCATACTAAATAATTCGTGAATGAACAGATCGCCAAATTTGAAATGAGATTTCATAAAATCTGCAAACTAATTTTTTTAATCATGAGGGTGTTTAATGTATAAAAATGAGCTAAGTATAAAAAAAAAATTGTGAAATACTTATCTGGTTATACTTTATATTAACGTATACAAATCTAATCACATAAATTTTACTCTTGAATATGTCTATCTCTACTTCCACATCAACTGCTCCTATTAATAACATCAAAAATCTCACATATAATATTCTTAAAACCTTCAAGGATGGCATTATTAAGGGTAAAAAAATTACAGAACTAGGGCCATGCTCTGAATGTGACAATGATATTTTAATATCTCCTCTCAAAGCATTCACATACCTAGCATGCGGACACCTTTTTCATAGACTCTGTATCAAAAAAAAGCTTTTACTTACTGTTCCAAACACATGTCCATTCCCGGGTTGTGGAAAGAATGTGGAAATATTAGATCAAGCCAATCCCCTTGGCACTGTTTCCAATTTGCCGTTAACTAATCCCAAGGAGGCCTCCCAATCAACTGGAATTTCACCTTTGATGGGCGAAACATTTGTCCTATCTTCACCACCTATACGGATACTACCTATACGGATGGAAGGGATCGAGGGTACGGCAACTCAACAAGTCGAAAGTAATTTGAGGTGCGCCAAATGTTCTGAAGATCTTTCTTCATGTCTCCCACCTATAGGCTTTCTTCGGTTCTCTCCTCAACTTCAAGGTCCCTTGAAACCACTCATATACTTAACCTGCAAACATATCATCCATTACAATTATATCGATAATCCACAAAAACTATGTCCTATATGTCCATCAACTAATATGGAACCGGAAGAGGAAGAAGAAATGAGTGTTGATGGCGAAGAACAACCTGATACCAGCAGTAAAAAATGTTCCAATGAAGGTACGGACGTCAACTCATCTACACCCAAGAAGAAGGCAAAGAAAGCAGTTAGAAGAGAAGATTCACCCATTTTGAAAAAGCTTATCAAGGAATTGTCCGCTCCAATTCCACAGCAAAGCTCTTCTGGTAGTATTATTTCCCTACAGACATTCCCTGATATGGATATTAACTCGGTTAATTTTTGTGAACTAGATGATAAGATCATCAATGCCGAAGATGGTAATAAAAAAACTATTCTAGAAGTGATTCATGCATATTATTATTTTGGGAAAGGGTATATGTTATGGTTTAACCACTATATAAAAACATATAGTGAGGATACATCGAATTTTCTAGTTAATGATAAAATTCGGAAGCACTTTCCAGGCCAAGACAAAGTTTCAGAGGCTAATCTTAGAAAAAGGAAGGAAAGGGCAATAAAAATCTTTAAACTCTTTAATAGGGTTGGAGGGGAAGAAAAGATATATTGTATTAAGTCTTTTTCTGCGTCAACTATTTCAAGACTGGGCGTGGATGATATTAATTATGTAAAAGCTAAGGTTTTAAAAGCGAGCCAATAAAATTTACTGCGCCAAATTTTATTCAAGTGTGACCGCCTGGTCACAGCTACCGAAATTTTTCCGATTTTGATGAATATCAAATTTTTACTCAACTGTGACCGCCTGGTCACACTTGCCGAAGTTTTTCCATGTTTTAACATTATCTAAACATGCTTATCGTTTCTATAAATAAAGTCAATATATACGCTTATCAATTATTTTTAAACTCATATACTCCTATACCTTTTTTTCCTCATAAAATTCTCCTGCCTTATGAGGCTTATAACAAGATAGGGCATAAATGCAAGTATACTAATTACGGGTTTGTACATACATATAAAAAAAAATAACCACGTGTATATTATTTTTTCTATTAATATACAAATGTGGAATAATACAAATAAAAGAAGTCGAAATTATATCGAAAAGTGGCATATCTATAGAGGGTGGAAGCACAGGTGTAAGGTTTGTGACGAATGCAATCATCATTCACACCTATATTGCAAAACATGCAAAAAAGTAGCGGATGGAATATATAGGCGATGTGAATGCGATAACATGTTAGAATAAAATTTCGCATACGTATAAATTTATCTGAACTATAATACCTTACAAGGCTTATCATTATTCATAACTCATGTGGAACGAGTAAAAAGTACCATTTTTAAGTTTTTCTCGAAATAGTACCCTAACCCAAATTCGGTCAACAATCTCATGACACATACGTTATCTGTGCAACCAAATCTTTATACGAATTTTTTTGAATTTTATTTTCAAACGTTCATAGAAAAAATAATACCCAAGCTTTAGATCTACTCCAAAGCCGGTACAAAAATTTATTTCTTCTTCTAACCCCTCTTCTCGCAATACTTGCTCGAAGCCAGATATAATTAGTTAACTATATATCTTTTTTTCGAACTTGAGAGAAAAAAAGGGCGAAGTATAATACATAGCGATCTTTCTCTACGCCGTAATGCCGAAGATGTCGAGATCTCCAACATGCATTCCACATGCCTAAGGGTCACCCTATGACCAACGTAGTGTAATGTAGAATATAAAAAATGGCGTAGAGCACATATAGGTCCTTTTTCTGCTATTGTCCTGCCATTTGTATTGCCATTCAGAGAAGAGCGAATTCCATTTATAAAGGGGAGTATAATGAAGTTATGGAAGTTTGACGCTTTACAGTGATTAAAAAAATTGAACTAACATTTATTGCTTCCAAAATGTCTGAAAATTATTTTTACCTTAACCGCAACCAACCAAGCAATGTATTGTATTTTAAAGAATGGTTGCCAAATGTCTATCTACCGAACGTTAAGACTTTGAAAAGAAACAATGTTAATATAGCAGAATCTCAATACCGCCAAGAGCTAGAAGAAGCTATAACTATGTGTGGGACAAATAATTCAAAAAATAAGCGAAAGCTAGTGGATATCTTATCTCAGTTTAACGCGACTTCTAAGGTATGTAATAAAAAATGTGTTATCTATTTTTTCGGAAGATGATGAACAATTTTGCAGAAGGGGATGGAAAAATAACAACATAGGCCTATGTTGCTGTCTGTATCCGGGTGTACGTGATAAAGTTTTTGCGTATGTCTTAGCTTACGGAACGCTAGCACTGTAAGCATCGAAGGGTGCAGTTCAGGGGATTCATCGTTCCGGTGTGGGTCTCACACTAGGTTCGGTATGAGCTATGCCTTGTGTACCTCGTCGCTGACCATGGGCATGGATCCCATCTATATTATAGAAAATGAATAACTTTGGAATAGCTGATTTCATATATTATATAATTATATTATCTTGAAGATACTAGATTAGTTATTTTTCTTCTTCTGTTTTAGGAACAACGTCAAAAATTTTATAAAGAAGCTTGGACGTGAGAAAAGGAGAAAGTAAGTATAAATATATATGCACCTCATACTATCCAAAACGAAAAGCGCTTATCTTTTTTTTCATTTTTTACTAATATAGCGACAAGCTATGGAACAGGAACGTAACGTTAATATAATTCAAGAGAATATAGAATTTATATTAAACGGATGTGTAAGTAAATATTATAATTCTGATTTCTGGTGTGTTTATTGTTAATTGGGAAATATTATCTATAGAGAGTTAAGCTAAGAAATAGTTGCTCGGAAGCAACTATGGTCGCATATACCGAAATTGTTCGTCATTTAGAACGCTTAGATCTAGCGACGATTAAACCAGAAGTTCCTTTAGCATCTGGTATTATTGATCTCTCCGGAAATGAAGACCCATTTGTAAATTTATTATCGTCAAGGTCTAAGCAGATTTTGATGCACCATGAGTTCGGCAATAATGAATTTCCAGGAGAAATTAAATTCATGGTGGACGATTTCGTAGACACGTATAAAGATCTGAGACCTGACTTTGATCCTGTGTTAATGCGACCAATAGCCTTTCCACGAGGAGAAATGTCTATTGAATCCAGACGTATACTGATGACGGTTTTTGACTTGTTAGAAGGATTGTAAGTTATTTGCGTTAAATTATGTGTATATTTATATAAGGTTATATCATTAATTAAGAGTATTTCTAATTCCAGGCGACATATTTGGAGTCTGAGACCATTATTAACGGAAGATGATTACAGCGAGAACTCATATGTAATTCATGCTGTATCAAAGGTTTTAGATCCAATCTTCACATATTCGAAGTGGTCTCTTAAACATGCATAGTAATATATATACTGTAATTATTTTTATAATAATCATTATAAATATGTAAATACTTGCTAAATGCTATATATAAATTTTAATACGTATAGGTTTGAGCAGAAGAACAAGTCTTCACAGTCTAGGATGGAATGAATAGAAGCCATGAATTCAGGAAAGAAGCCAGATCTACAAGTTTTGTTAAAGCTTAACACAGTGAAAAATGAAATAGTACTTGCTGAGATTTCACGATTACTGCCTCAACAAGATAAAGAAATTATTGACTGGAAAAAATTAGTACGTATTTGCAAAGATTGTTTTGATGAACGATATAACGTTTTTTTTGATGGGAGGGATGATACTACCAATATAGCCAGATCGATAAATGTTAAGTTAGGGAAAGTTCCTGTTTTAGGTATCCAAGTAATATGAGATCGTGTGATCATTTCTGCATTAGACTTATTTGAAGATGATTTTTATCGGGTTTTCTGAATATGTGAGTTGGTTATACCATTATGTATTTCCTCATGCCCGATAGTTGATGAATTTTTAAAGAACGCCCTTAAAATGAGATTCGTGGTAGAAAAAATTATTGCAATGTCTGTTGATGTGAAGGACGAAATTAGTCTTTTGCCGGTAACTGAAGATCGGACTCCATCAACATCAATGATGTTGACAACATACTCTCCACCAAAAAATTTTTAGATAAAAAATTTCTGAATATGTATATTTTTATTCTGTATTTTGTTTTTATTTTTTATATCAATAAAGCTGGCCCTGGTGGCTGATTTCGCATATGTAATCAGTTTACTTTTCCATGTGTATTTCATAAATTTATTTTATTGTATTGATATCGATGTATGTTAACTTGCATATGATCAAAGATTTTTCTTGGCATTGGCATGAAAATTCTTCATGCTTACATGATTTCTAATCTGCTGATGTTTTTTATGTATCGGTATGATTATTTGAATGTATATATATATTATATTAAAAAATGGCAAATACACAATCCAAACCCAATTTATTAGAAAGATTTTCAAGCTTGTAGCTGAAAATACTGAACTTAAAAGGGAGAAGGCTGAATTCTTAGCTAAGGAAGCAGGATTTATGGCCAAAATAATGGAATTAGAACAAAATGCTGAAAAATCGAGATTAAGAGATACTAAACTCAATACCAGAATTATAGAACTAGAATGATTAGCAAAAGAAAATGAAAAGCGATTTGCAACATTGGAGCAGAATCAAAACGATACAGTAGATAAATTAAAAAATGGCGATAATTTTCTATTTTCTAATAGAAATAATATATCTGACCCTGTTATAAACCATTGCATTGATACTAACTTCAAATCATTAAAGAGTGATATAGAAATATTTTCGATATTATATCTGATGATACGGAGCATCGAGCATCTGGTTCTTCTGATATATGTCAAGAAAAGGATAACTGTCTTCAGATAACTGAGAAGCAAATATTAAATCTTTATTAACACTATCATCTTTTAATTTTTTGATAAGTTTTTTTACTGTAGAAAATTCGCCCTCCTTAGTAGTTGACTTCTGTCTTTTATCAGATTTATCTGGTGATTCTATAATACATTTTTTTTGTGTTTTACTTTTATAAAGTGGGGGTCTTTCTGACCTAATAATGGTGATACAGCTATTGGAGAATCTAATCCAAAGTCATCGTCTAACATTTTTGCAAGAGCAGAAGTTCCACTAGACTAAGATAATGATTCAGAAAACCTTCGTTCAGATACTACTGGATCAATGATTTTATTATAATCAGATAAAGGGTATTTGTTTTCTGTTGTAAGTAAAAATTTTTTTTTTATACATTTTCTATGATATGTATATCCACATGAAAGTATTGTAAATGATTTGAAATTAACAGATAATATTTTGTTTTCACATAGTTTACATGGTAGCAATTCTGTAACAATGATATCTTGTACTATGTTATGTTTTGTTTCTTTTAAAAT